GGTAAAAGCTAATGACGGCTGGAGACAATTAGAGGTAGTATGGCTCAAAATCGTTTTCAGTGGCTAGCGCAGATGCATTCACTCTTTGTGATTTATCGTACCCAATAAAATTATATTGTTCTTCCACATTACTATTCTTTTTGCCTCATATCTCTGCTTATTACCTCTCTTCTCTCGCTCTGTGTGCTACATGGAGGGAGTGTGGCAAATTGAACTGCTGAATATCTGTGCAAAATTCTACGTGGGAACCAGTCAGTCAAAATCGCCCAACAAATACACAGGAAAAGATGAATTAGGCACACTTTGAGATTAATGTCTGTCTGTCTGGTTTCAATATAGAACTACTTTGCACAGATGTGCAGCTGTTAGAGTCGCCACACTTCACTCAGCACACAAAGCAAGAGAAGAAAGTAAAAAAGAAACGTAAAATAGAGACAGCTAACAGAGATATGACGCAAAAAGAATAGTAATATCGAAGAACAATATAGTTTCATTGGAAATTATAAATCACAAGGAGTGGATGCATCTGCGCCATTGAGCCATATCACCAATCGTCTCCAGCCATTGGTGTTTACCGTCCCGACAACTCCAACCAGTCAGGAAGTCCACATCTTCCTACTTGTCTGGCTCCAGCCAAATGCAAGATGATGTTACAGGACTGGACTACATCGACGCCTAGTTTAAAAATAGGAAGTGAAGTGGTAGAGCACGTTGACCGCTTCACTTATTTGGGAAGTACCATCAGCCAGTACCAACGGGTTGATCTCTGACGAAATCTCAGCACGAATACAAGGGGCTATTTTCGCATTTGCCAGTTTACGCCGACTCTGGCGTAGACGAGATATCCGACTATCGACCAAAGGGCGGGTGTACTACTCATCACTCCGCTCCGTTCTCCTTTATGACAGTGAGTTAGAGCTGGCCATTGAGAGTGGAAGACATGAAAAGATTAGCTGTGTTTGATCATAGGTGCCTGCGTTCTATTTCCCGTGTAAAGTGGCATAATAAGGTGAGCAACATTGAGGTAAGGCGTCGAGTTCTAGGTAAACAGGGGAAATCAATCGACGAAGTCGTGAAGTTACAAAGACTGAGATGGTTAGGACATGTGTTACGTATGCCAAGCCATCGCCTCCCTCGACGAGCAATGTTAGCGGATATAGGGTCAGGCTGGAAAAAAGCTAGCGGCGGTCAAACAAAAACTTGGCACCAGTCAATGAAATCTACAACAGTTGGTCTAAGCCACGTAGGAAGGTGTAGACTTCCTGGCTGGGGTCCTCGAGACGGTAAAAATCAATGGTTGGAAACAATTGGTGACATGGCTCAAAATCGTTCTCAGTGGCGCAGATGCATCCACTCCTTGTGACTTATGATCTCCAATGAAACTGTTTTGTTCTTCGTTATTACTCTCCTTTGTCTCACACCTCTGCTCACTGTCTCTATTATGCTTTTCCTGTACTTTCCTCTCTTGCTTCGCGTGCTACACGGAGTGTGGCGACTTGAACTTCCGCACATTTGTGCAAGTTCTATGTCGAAAACAGACAGACAGACTTGTCTGGCTTAAACTAACTGTTGTGGACTTCATTGACTGATGAAGCCATGTTTTGGTTTGATCACCAGTGGCTACTTTCCAGCCTGACCCTATGTCAGCTAACATTGCCAATCGAGGTTGAGATCGTCGAGTGACACTGAGTCAGACCCTCTTGTGGAAAACGACGCTGTGAGTAAGAGGATGACGCAGAGGAGCTCGTGTGATGAAGAAATGAAGGCTTGTGCATACTACTGGCAGAGCTAACTAAAGAAGACTGCAGAGAACCGAGTGAAATGTGTTGCTGAAGCCCTATGTTTTCAATTGAACCCAAGAAAATAATAATGATACTGTCTACTTATGAAATTTTCGTAGAGCAATAACTCGTGCTCAGTACATCATCCATCCATTTACTAATACTGTGTCATCAGTAATGTTACATAAAATCAACTTTCTCTAATTCTACTCTTACATTACAGATAAAAACTACCTACCTTCCGCTTGTCAGCAGCAAAGGTGAACAATCCAACTGCTAGTCAAAACAATGACCAACTCTACTTCACTACTTCATACATGCGACGTGATCAACTGCATTGAACGTGAAATTCGCCAATTTTGATCATCCATCCAGCGGCTTACATCGTGAAAAAAGACAAGCACCTTACCTAGTATACATTCGGTACCGTTATAAACAAACTTCGCCATTTCCACTCTAAGGGCAAGCCAACATGTCAACAGAGACCGAATATTTATGTCCAACATAACCAATCAACAGGAAGTACAAAACTAACCCACTGCACAAAAGGTGAGTCTTTTAGACAATGATTTCAGAATCAGAGGCTGGTTAATTGAGGAGGGAGGAGAAATACCCTCACCTCTCAAAATCAGAAAAAAGCGCATCTTCCACTCGACAAGTCTTGAATATGACAAAATGCACATCCCAGGTTCCACTGCAGCATGGAACCTCAGCTTTATTCGACTAGTTGACTGGTGACGAAACTGCTCACTTACTTGTTAACTTCCATCAAGCATGAACAATGATACATTCATTGGGCACTAATAACTGGTGGAATGTGTCTAGTCCTTTGTTTGGTGTAGACTGAATTCTATCAGTCAGGTTTGCAATATGGCTACTATGCCACTAGGCAGCTCGTCATCACGGTTACCTTTGAACTGTTGATGTTAGATGGTCGGAGACAATCGGCCACAGGAAGCCTTGACTACACCTAGGTTTCCTGCTAGTTGGCACTTACCAGTCAGCAAGGCGTATCTACAACCGTGAAGGAACTCATGTCTCTACAATGGTGGCCACACTCCAAACCTGACTGCACCAAACAAAGGACTAGAAACATCATACTAGTTACTAGTGTCCAATGAAAGTACCCAATATACAGTCCTACAAGAAATCAATCGCGAGCCCGAATAGCTCCTCAGTGGTAACGTCTCTGACCGAAGGCAGCACTAGGTGACGCGAGTTCGAATCTCAGACAGGGGACATGACTTCCTTCATGGTTGCAGATGTCAGTCTGTCTGGATTCAACATAGAACTTGCCACCAAAGTGCAGAAGTTCGAGTTGTTACCTTCCAAATAGCACACAAAGGTAGACAAAAAGATGAGTGAAGGGAACTAATAGTTTCACAAGTATAAGGGTGACACACAATGGGTAATGGTAGAAAGGAATATGAAAGATTACAGAGACTGAATACATCTGCGCCATTGACAACGATTTTGAACCATGTCACCTATTGTCTCCAGCCATTGATTCCTAGAGTCCCGAGGGCCCCAACCCAGAAGTCTGCATCTCCCTCCCTACCTGACTCAATTTAACAACTGTCAAGGATTTCATGGATTGATGAGGCCATGTTTTTGTTTGGCCACCACTTACCCTTTTCCAACCTCCACCTATATCAGCTAGTCCGTCAGGGGAGGTGATGGTTAGGCATGCGCACCACGTGACCTAGCCATCTCAATCTATGTAACTTTATAGCCTCGTCGATTGATTTTCCCTCTTTGCCCAACACTCTACGCCACTCTACGTCAACATTACTTACCTTATTAAACCACCTAACGTGAGAAAGAGATCGCAGACATCTACGATCAAAAACAGTCAACCTTTTCATGTCTTCAACTCGTATTGGCCATGTTTCAGAGCCATAGACAAGGACGGAGCAAACTGATGAGCAGTACACACGTCCCTTGGTTGATAGCCAGCCGGATGTCACGCCTACGCCAGAGATGGTGCAAGTCAGCGAAAGCAGCTCGAGCTTTTTGGATCCGTGCTGAGATTTCATCGCCAATCAGTCCGTTGGTGCTGATACAACTTCCCAAATAGGTGAAGTAGTGGTCAACATGTTCTATCACTTCACTCCCTATCACTAAGCTAGGAGTTGACCTAGTCCAGTCCTGTAGCAGCATCTTACATTTTACAGAGGCGAATCGCATGCCAAACATACGAAGATTGCTGCTCAAGGTGTTCAAAAGATACTGTCTTTTGTCATCATCCTCCCCTAACAAGACTATGTCATCTGCATATTCTAAGTCCATAAGACTATTCCATGGTTGCAGATACTCCTTGAGTGCCAACTAGCGAGAAATCTAGATGTACCCATGGCTTCCTGTGGCCGACTGGCTCCGACCATCTAACATAAACAACAATAAAATTGATTAATGTTGATCAGTAATCAATTTCTTAAACGAAGAAGAAGAATAAGAAGGATAACATTCTCATACACACAAACTTTACACAGAATTTATTTATTCACTCCAGACAGATAGTACCACCTTTTCATTAGCAAATTCAACATAAAATCCAGCAAAAAACGAACTGATGATTATTTCCATCAAATATCAACGTTACTGTTACCTATGAGTAGTAGTAATATAATAATAATAATAATAGAGTAGTAATCAACAACAACAACCTGATGTACATACAAGTAAAGTAATACCACCACCAGAGGCATAATATGTAAGCAAAAAGAAACCTAATATGGATCAACCTACTAGTGCATTTATTTCGCTATTCATTCAGTCATCTCACATTAACAAAACGATAATCAAATCAGGAAATCCCTCCTCTTTCATACATTCAAAGAGGTATGGATTGAAAGAGGGAGGTAGGGAGAGAGAGAGACATAGAGAGAGAGGCATGAGTATTACAAACTGACTTTTTGAGTAACAAAAAAGCAAGTTTCATATAAGAGAGAGATTAAATATTATATATTTTTCAGAAGAGAAATTCAAATGTCCAAGGAGAAGAAGACAAGAAAAACAAATACACACATGGACAGTAGTATTCTCGGGGTGATAAAGACATAAATGTATTTTGTTACAACATAGTGGTTAGTTACTAGTGGTTGTGTATTAGCACAGCGATAGTAGTAGTAGTAGTAGTACTCACAGGTTTCATTCACATTGTCACTAAGAATATAACTCCTCTATCAATCAAACAGCAGAGAAGATAAGAGTCGAAAGTCAAAAAGGATACTTTCCTTCTCTGGTTTCTTTGTTTTTTTTTCTTTCTGGAAACAGAGTCATATATAGAAAGCGGAAGGAAAAACAACAGCATTCGAATACGCACATACGCGCACACACACACACATAGAGGGATGTAGAGTGATTATTCCCATTCAATAGTGGCTGGTGGTTTTGATGTGAGATCGTAGAGAACTCGAGATATACCGGTACTTCTTCGGCTGCTTTTTGCATTTTGTAAACAACCTAGGAAAGAAAATTGAAAAAATAAAGACAGTTTGAAGGCGGCAAAGGTAAACTTTCGACAGCACTAACTACCAATCCGCAAACGACCTTGAACGAACCAATCACATTAAAGAGGCATACATGGTGAATGGAAACGTATATTTATAGATAAAAATCATAAAAAAAGATAAAACGGTTACAAGGAGTATCTTTCTCGAACATGTGAGAGAAACATCTCCCAGTTTAGCATGTGACTGTCAATGGAGAAGTCACACCACATCCTGAATGGCTATGAATGAGATCCTTTTGAGATCCATTTATAGTCCTTATCCTGTTTTTCAAGCGGCCCCAAAAACCTCCAATGGAATTTCTATGAGTCCTTGTAAAGGGATCCACCCAGCAAACAAGTGATTTTTTTCTATTTTACACGAAGCAACATCTCTGCAATGCTTGTAGCACTAAACTGTTGAGACGAGACAATTCTCCGTCTGTTTCAACACCCAGTAGTTGCAAATGTACAAACTCTGGGTTAGGGAGAGATGCGACCTAGCGAAAAAAGTTCCTAAGAAATATTAAAATTATCAGTTTATCCGCTCTAATGTTAGCACGCTTCAAACATATAGCACAACGATGAACAGACCCATCAGTTGATCTGCTATAGCTTTTTAAAGTCATGATGCCAACACACGAACAAGTTCGCTCCTTCCGGAGCAACCCTAAATCCAGGCAATACTGGAAAACACTGTCCTCCTCGAATTGCAACCGTAACCTTGTAAGGTCACGCATTAGAAAAGAATCAAGCGCTCTACAACATTGAACTACGTTCGTGAATCTCATTGGATAATTCGCTGATTGGCAGTTAGTGGTGTCGAAATTTTAACTTCGCCACTTGGTAGATTAAGGGCACGAAGTGATGCACCACACAAAATTCGTAGAAGGGCTTAGATGATGACATAGCGCTGAGAATGTCTGTCTGTCTATTTTCCACATAGAACTTCGCACCGATTTCCAGCACTTCAAGTCGACACACTCCATGCAGCACACAAAGCAAGAGAAGCAATGCATAACAGACACAGTAGACAAAGTGAGACAATGGAATAGTAATAACAAAGAACAATATAGTTTTGTTGGGTATTATAAGTCACAAGAAGTGGATGCATCTGCGCCATAACGATTTAGAACGCTGAGATTGAAGTAGGTTGTTTTCTTAAGAGGTCAATCCCCAGACCTTTGACTTGAATTCTGAGCAACAACGCAATGCAGCAGCATTCCAACGGGTTTTTCAGTGACCCATTCAGTACTACACATGCCATTCGATCACTTCGGATTTTGTAGCTCATTTTCACTATATGTTTGTAATTTGGGTTTTCTGACTTCCCCAGATAGACGTGTATGTCTACCAGGTGGTTGTTAACACTAGCTGTTCGAATTCACTCGTTCACTTTTGTGAAGAACTGTCTGTCTGTCTGGATTCAACATAGAACTTGCCACCAAAGTGCAGAAGTTCGAGTTGTTACCTTCCAAATAACACACAAAGGTAGACAAGATGAGTGAAGAGAACTAATAGTTTCACAAGTATAAGGGTGACACACAATGGGTAATGGTAGAAAGGAATATGAAAGATTACAGAGACTGAATACATCTGCGCCATTGACAACGATTTTGAACCATGTCACCTATTGTCTCCAGCCATTGATTCCTAGAGTCCCGAGGGCCCCAACCCAGAAGTCTGCATCTCCCTCCCTACCTGACTCAATTTAACTGTCAAGGATTTCATGGATTGATGAGGCCATGTTTTTGTTTGGCCACCACTTACCCTTTTCCAACCTCCACCTATATCAGCTAGTCCGTCAGGGGAGGTGACGGTTAGGCATGCGCACCACGTGACCTAGCCATCTCAATCTATGTAACTTTATAGCCTCGTCGATTGATTTTCCCTCTTTGCCCAACACTCTACGCCACTCTACGTCAACATTACTTACCTTATTAAACCACCTAACGTGAGAAAGAGATCGCAGACATCTACGATCAAAAACAGTCAACCTTTTCATGTCTTCAACTCGTATTGGCCATGTTTCAGAGCCATAGACAAGGACGGAGCGAACTGCTGAGCAGTACACACGTCCCTTGGTTGATAGCCAGCCGGATGTCACGCCTACGCCAGAGATGGTGTAAGTCAGCGAAAGCAGCTCGAGCTTTTTGGATCCGTGCTGAGATTTCATCGCCAATCAGTCCGTTGGTGCTGATACAACTTCCCAAATAGGTGAAGTAGTGGTCAACATGTTCTATCACTTCACTCCCTATCACTAAGCTAGGAGTTGACCTAGTCCAGTCCTGTAGCAGCATCTTACATTTTACAGAGGCGAATCGCATGCCAAACATACGAAGATTGCTGCTCAAGGTGTTCAAAAGATACTGTCTTTTGTCATCATCCTCCCCTAACAAGACTATGTCATCTGCATATTCTAAGTCCATAAGACTATTCCATGGTTGCAGATACTCCTTGAGTGCCAACTAGCGAGAAATCTAGATGTACCCATGGCTTCCTGTGGCCGACTGGCTCCGACCATCTAACATAATCAACAATAAAATTGATTAATGCTGATCAGTAATCAATTTCTTAAACGAAGAAGAAGAATAAGAAGGATAACATTCTCATACACACAAACTTTACACAGAATTTATTTATTCACTCCAGACAGATAGTACCACCTTTTCATTAGCAAATTCAACATAAAATCCAGCAAAAAACGAACTGATGATTATTTCCATCAAATATCAACGTTACTGTTACCTATGAGTAGTAGTAATAGTAATAATAATAATAATAGAGTAGTAATCAACAACAACAACCTGATGTACATACAAGTAAAGTAATACCACCACCAGAGGCATAATATGTAAGCAAAAAGAAACCTAATATGGATCAACCTACTAGTGCATTTATTTCGCTATTCATTCAGTCATCTCACATTAACAAAACGATAATCAAATCAGGAAATCCCTCCTCTTTCATACATTCAAAGAGGTATGGATTGAAAGAGGGAGGTAGGGAGAGAGAGAGACATAGAGAGAGAGGCATGAGTATTACAAACTGACTTTTTGAGTGACAAAAAAGCAAGTTTCATATAAGAGAGAGATTAAATATTATATATTTTTCAGAAGAGAAATTCAAATGTCCAAGGAGAAGAAGACAAGAAAAACAAATACACACATGGACAGTAGTATTCTCGGGGTGATAAAGACATAAATGTATTTTGTTACAACATAGTGGTTAGTTACTAGTGGTTGTGTATTAGCACAGCGATAGTAGTAGTAGTAGTAGTACTCACAGGTTTCATTCACATTGTCACTAAGAATATAACTCCTCTATCAATCAAACAGCAGAGAAGATAAGAGTCAAAAGTCAAAAAGGATACTTTCCTTCTCTGGTTTCTTTGTTTTTTTTGTTTCTGGAAACAGAGTCATATATAGAAAGCGGAAGGAAAAACAACAGCATTAGAATACGCACATACGCGCACACACACACACATAGAGGGATGTAGAGTGATTATTCCCATTCAATAGTGGCTGGTGGTTTTGATGTGAGATCGTAGAGAACTCGAGATATACCGGGTACTTCTTCGGCTGCTTTTTGCATTTTGTAAACAACCTAGGAAAGAAAATTGAAAAAATAAAGACAGTTTGAAGGCGGCAAAGGTAAACTTTCGACAGCACTAACTACCAATCCGCAAACGACCTTGAACGAACCAATCACATTAAAGAAGCATACATGGTGAATGGAAACGTATATTTATAGATAAAAATCATAAAAAAAGATAAAACGGTTACAAGGAGTATCTTTCTCGAACATGTGAGAGAAACATCTCCCAGTTTAGCATGTGACTGTCAATGGAGAAGTCACACCACATCCTGAATGGCTATGAATGAGATCCTTTTGAGATCCATTTATAGTCCTTATCCTGTTTTTCAAGCGGCCCCAAAAACCTCCAATGGAATTTGTATGAGTCCTTGTAAAGGGATCCACCCAGCAAACAAGTGATTTTTTTCTATTTTACACGAAGCAACATCTCTGCAATGCTTGTAGCACTAAACTGTTGGGACGAGACAATTCTCCGTCTGTTTCAACACCCAGTAGCTGCAAATGTACAAACTCTGGGTTAGGGAGAGATGCAACCTAGCGAAAAAAGTTCCTAAGAAATATTAAAATTATCAGTTTATCCGCTCTAATGTTAGCACGCTTCAAACATATAGCACAACGATGAACAGACCCATCAGTTGATCTGCTATAGCTTTTTAAAGTCATGATGCCAACACACGAACAAGTTCGCTCCTTCCGGAGCAACCCTAAATCCAGGCAATACTGGAAAACACTGTCCTCCTCGAATTGCAACCGTAACCTTGTAAGGTCACGCATTAGGAAAGAATCAAGCGCTCTACAACATTGAACTACGTTCGTGAATCTCATTGGATAATTCGCAGATTGGCAGTTAGTGGTGTCGAAATTTTAACTTCGCCACTTGGTAGATTAAGGGCACGAAGTGATGCACCACACAAAATTCGTAGAAGGGCTTAGATGATGACATAGCGCTGAGAATGTCTGTCTGTCTATTTTCCACATAGAACTTCGCACCGATTTCCAGCACTTCAAGTCGACACACTCCATGCAGCACACAAAGCAAGAGAAGCAATGCATAACAGACACAGTAGACAAAGTGAGACAATGGAATAGTAATAACAAAGAACAATATAGTTTTGTTGGGTATTATAAGTCACAAGAAGTGGATGCATCTGCGCCATAACGATTTAGAACGCTGAGATTGAAGTAGGTTGTTTTCTTAAGAGGTCAATCCCCAGACCTTTGACTTGAATTCTGAGCAACAACGCAATGCAGCAGCATTCCAACGGGTTTTTCAGTGACCCATTCAGTACTACACATGCCATTCGATCACTTCGGATTTTGTAGCTCATTTTCACTATATGTTTGTAATTTGGGTTTTCTGACTTCCCCAGATAGACGT